AAATTTTGGATTAAAAATGTTACCTTTGTATATGGGTTGGTGCTAAGTAATAATGAATGCATTGCATAATAATTGAACATTAATATACTTTCTCATAGAAAAGAAGATATAGAAATATCTAGTTGAAAAACTATCCATTTCAACTCCAGGGAATAAACTCATTCTACTTTGTATCGAAATCTGATGTTGATTAAATAAATTGTGTAATCAGCATGGGTCATATTTTATGCTAGTGGGGAAAATTAAGGGAACAGCTGTTAAAGAAGTGCTTTATGTTAATTTTATTTAATGATCCTCAATTAAAGATGGCTGGTTGATAAAGGTCAGTCTAACTGGATTCACTTTCACTACATAGAAATATGTAAAATTTGCATCAATTTTTTCCAGCATATGTGGAAAAGAGTGTTTGGAATGCTTCAGATTTCAATTTTAAGGATGCTACAAGTAGTTAGATAACATTTTGCATATGGAAAGTGAAATTTGTCATTGAAAAGTCATTTGATGGATTGGGAGAATGGAAGCAGGATAGGGCAGACTCTGATGCAGACCTAAAAGTAGTCAAATGCATCATGTTAAGAATCTGAAAATGGTTAAAAAGAGATAAAATATACAGAATTACTCAATGGTGGTAAATGGTCTAACAGAAATGCACAAAATAAAAAACAACCGAATTTAAAACTTAAAAAATAAAGCAAAAATACATTAATACAAAAATAAAACAGTAATCATTAAATAGTAAATGACAATTGACAACGTCTATCAAGGAGTCGGCGAAAGACTTATCAACTGAAATATGTTTCTGAATTTAATCTGGATGAATTGCAGAAAAAAGTAATCAAAGAATTTTTTTAATTAAAAATAAATGAAAATATATTAATGCAAAACTTTAAAAAATTAATTTTTTTAAATTTCAAAATGCTGTTATCAGAATGTAACCTGCTGTGGCTCAAATCAAATGAAAATATGTGCATAATATACAAAAAAACGGAAAGTTAAAATTTTGAAATAAGGTTAAGAAATGAAAAAGATATATATATTTACTACCAGAGAGGTAGAACATGCAAATTGGTAAGGCAACTAGAAAAACCATAATTACATTAAAAACAAAATTGCATAAGCTTTCTAAATAGAGAAATCAAACAACATATAAAAGTAAAAAATAAATGACAATTTAAATTTCCAAAAATTTAATTAATTTTCCAAAAATTATATGTACACTGCTGGACATTGAAAATGCAACACCAAGGAGTGGTCAGAAAGTAATGAAATTTGGAAAAAAGACAGAGACAGCAAGCAGATCTTTGTTTCAAAATGATAGTCAGAATACAGAGTGAGAACGGTGACGGCTCAGTAGGATGTAGGACCACCGCGGACAGCGATGCACGAAGAAACACATCTAGGCATAGAGTCAATATGCGGATGGTGTCTTAAGGGATGGGTCTCAATTCCCTTTCAACCATTTGCCAAAGTTTGTCTTCTGAACGAGGCAGGGACAGAGTCTGCACACAGCGTCCAATCACATCCCACACATGTTCGATTCCTTCCTCCCACATGTTCGATTGGGGACAGGACAGGAGAGTACGGTGGCCAGAGAAGCATTTGTATACCTTGCAGAGCATGTTGGCAGATGCGTCGGGCGTTATCCAGCTGAAAAATTGCATTAGGCAGCCCCTGAAAGTAGGGGATAGCCACAATACATTATCCAAGTATCATTGGGCCGTCATAGCCCCCTGAATATGAACTAGAGGTGACCTGGAATCGTAGGCAATAGCGCCCCAAACCTTTATGCCACGTTGTTGTGCGGTGAAACATCTTGTCTCCACGTTGACACCACGCACGTATGTGGCGACTGTCACTGGATAAACAGAAGCGTGACTCATCTGAGAACACGATCTTTCGCCATTCTGTCATCCACATCACTCCAGTCCGGCACCATTCTAAACGTAGCCGTCTATGCTGTGGGGTCAATGGCAGTCTTCTTAACGGATGCTGTGAGTGCAGGCCACATTCAATCAATTGACGGGAAATGGTTCTGGTCAACTCTGAAACATCCAGGGTATCTTGCACATGCTGCAAAATTGTGGTATTAGTGACTTAAAGGACCGCCACAGCTTGTCGGCGGATGCGTCGATCCACTCGTGCTGATGTCAGTCTGGCTGTGGCTGCACCTGCACCCCTCCTTCCTCCTACATTTTCTTGTTCCAACCATGTTCGCCGTAGCCGATGCACTGTGCTCACATCCATGTGGGTATCAGCTGCGATTTGACGTAAGGACCAATTCGCCCTTCTCAGTCCGATCACCATACCCCTCGTAAAATAGTGTATCTGCTGGAAGTACCTTCGTTGACGGCAGCCTGGCATTCTCTCCTATTACACGTATCCTCTGGGACAAAACCCAACTTTCTTCGATAATTCGTCTGGGCAGAAATAACGACACGAATATTGCCAATTCTGCACTTTCCGTCCCTTATATCTTATTTCACGTGCGTCGGAGAGCTGCACATTTCACATCATTCGCATAACTCAGCGACATGCGTCTACTCTAAAATTAGCGTAAATTTCTGATCACTCCTTTTTGATGTTGCATTTTCAATGTCGAGCAGTGTATATATATATGTAAGATAAAAAATGTATGAATCAGAATTATAATATAACTATAAACATTAATTCTTCCTCTCTATTTTAAAATCGTAATAACTTCTCTGCATTGCGTCATTTCTAGATCATTCTATGGCCCGCGCAACTCTGATGACGTAATAATTAAGAACTGAAACTGCCACTGTAAACCAAAACTTTTCTCTTCGCGTGCTTCCATCTTTCATAACTACGCACTTCAGCTTTTGCTCTCTACTCTGCTAAGATGTAATTTCACTGGCTTGCTTTCTATCCCAACAATATCAAAAATGTAAATCTTCTGTGGAAAGGCACGACTAGAGTGCCAAGTGATTGTGGCCACAAATATCAATTGGAAATAAAAATGGAATTAAAACTGCCTCGACTGCCAAGTTCTTTAAATAGTACGCAATCAAAATTCTTCTTCAATATGGATCTAAGCAAGCATCGACACTGCTCCGTTATTTCCTTTGCTTTTATTATGACAATTAAGCCGGTAAGGATAGTTTCCTGCAGCCTGAAACCTCAATGGAAAATTTAGTTCAGCTCTTCAAATCATCGTTTTTTGTAAATCCAAGATGATGTGAAAGAAGTGAATCATCAAGTTTGTTTTTGTTTTTTCAGTGTTTAGAAAATAACAGATCATTCTTCTGTTTTTTCAGTGTTTAAAAAAAATAACAGATCATTCTTCTGCTGTGGTGTTTTGCAAGTGCTTCAAAAAAAAAATAATCACGCGTAGTGTTTACAGATTGAAAGTAATATCTCGATAAATTCAGAAGTTCGAATGCCTAGTGAAAAAGAAATCATCAGTGAATTACCGTTTAGGAATTAAGCATTACAGCGGGTTCAAGGTCGATCCGAGTTAGTGTTTGCAAGTATGTGCGACAGAAAATTATTTGCACTTCTGCTTTTTCAACAGCTCAAAAATTATTACATTAGTATGAATCTAGCTCAGGAACTAAATTATTTAATGTGCTTCGGATTCTATAGTTTTCATTTCAACTTTGGTTAAAATTTCTGCAATTTGTTTTGAGAAAATCTGAAATTCTTGTTCATTAATTTTTTCTAATTTTTCATAATTATGTGTGAGCAAATTAAGTAACGAATTTTAAGCTATTTAAATTATTCATAGGGAAGGATATTAAGATAAGTTTTTATGTTTTTGAAATTTTGTTCAGAATTTTGAATACGAATTTTATAATTATTCTAAAAATGAAGTAGGTGTAAAAAATAAGTGAAATTATTACAGATAGGTAATATGAAATTATGGTAAATGCATGTTAAATTTATGGGTGATTGTATGTTAAGTATAGTGTATGTCGAGGGAGTATTGGTTCCTTCAACAGAGGACTGTTATTACCTCTGTACAGTTGTTCCTTTTACCCTCTTCATGCAAGATAATGTTGGAGGCTCTCATTTTATGAATGCATGTAAATTTTTTTATATTATTATTATATTTTTTTATTATGGAATGTATTAGTGCAGTTCTCAAAGGCCAGTTACCTTAATGCAAGGAACGGAGGTCTTTTCAAGTAACTGTCTAGGCACCCTGGGCCACCAGTGCAGAGAACACACTGGTTAGCTCAAGAGGACAGCCCTATTGATGGATATGTTTGTTTAGAAGTATTGCGAGGCTTCCAGTTTGGTAAAATCAGGAATTGTAAATGAAAGATGATAACGGTGAAACCATAAATTCCGAAAATCTTAATCCTATTATTTATGATGTTAAATTATAATTTATCAGTATAGAAATAAGTATCATAAGTATTTATGTGGATTACATTTAATTATAAGAAATGATTATGTAAACGTTTTTGTGATATTCTGTAATAACAAGAACCTTCCCTGATGAATTATGATTATGTGAACTTTCAAACAAAAAGACTTTTGGACTGAAATGCTGAAAAATTCAATAGGACTTTAAAAATTAAAAATTTATTTTAAAAAAATTGATATTTATAAATTATACTTTTATAGAATCAATTTTATGATTTATGTTTTTCTTTTTTATTTGCTAGCGTTTTAACTCTTTCTCTTTAAAAAGGCTTCTCTGTCGCTACGCCTTTTTCTTTTTGAAGGAGGGAAATATGTAAGATAAAAAATGTATGAATCAGAATTATAATATAACTATAAACATTAATTCTTCCTCTCTATTCTAAAATCGTAATAACTTCTCTGCATTGCGTCATTTCTAGATCATTCTATGGCCCGCGCAACTCTGATGACGTAATAATTAAGAACTGAAACTGCCACTGTAAACCAAAACTTTTCTCTTCGCGTGCTTCCATCTTTCATAACTACGCACTTCAGCTTTTGCTATGGAATTAAAACTGCCTCGACTGCCAAGTTCTTTAAATAGTACGCAATCAAAATTCTTCTTCAATATGGATCTAAGCAAGCATCGACACTGCTCCGTTATTTCCTTTGCTTTTATTATGACATATATATGCATAAGAACATAATGATAAATTAGGTTATTATGCATAACAAATTCTGCATATACTGAAAGACCTAAGATGTATATAATAATGGTTATGTGCATAAATATCAGGTTTGTAGTTATGTATATATCAGGTAATAATTTAATATCATGCATTATATGTGGTAATAATTTAGTTCATAATATAATATAAAATTTTATTCAGTATCTTTCTTATTTAAAATATCCAGCTCTACCTTCTTCCCACAGGAATAGCCATTTTCTTATTTTTTGCAGTGTCAATTTTCTTCAGTTATTTTATGTCAATAACAGCAATTCAGTGGTACCTTGATATACAGTTAAAGTCGTTAATCCGGACTCGTCGGGACTTCGGCGATTCCTGATTATCGATTTTTCCGGATTATAGATCATCAGTTTAAATCTCGTAAGATGGCATGCAGAAATTCTAAAATTAAAAGTATGAAACCGTAATTTATGAAATAAAGAACAATTATGATCTAAAGGGTATCAAAATTTGCAAAAAGAAAAAGCTTAATATTTATTTGTTTACTTTATTAAACATTTCTTTCAATGTAAGTTGTTTAAGTTTTGCTTCGTTTCATGTGATAATACTTTCTCTTTAATTCTATTAAACAGACATAATTTCTTGTTTAGTTACAAAGTTCCGCTGTTCAAGTCCTATAATTTCTGTGTTGAGAATACCGACTAATTTGTCAATCGAAATTTTTTCGTTTTCAATAACCTCTGGGTCACTTTCTTCGCTATCGGAAGCGAATTATAATGACGAGGAACTTGTTTTAAATCATATCAAAGACGGAGCACATCGAGATGAAATACTACATTTGATAAGGAATTATAAGCCAAATAAAATAAAAACATCTGCTCTGAAGATAAGGATAGTGCTGACAGATCAACTTCTAATTCATTACGCACACGCCGGCGTTCCCCCCGCCGAGCAGCGTGAAATTGATAAACAGATTTCGGATTTCAAAACATACTTTCGCTTTAGATCCTTTACATATTAACAAATATATATCGGAAATTCTATTTGATATAATCGAAAGTTTAAACTTACTTTTATAAAATTGCTCTTACAGTCTGCAAAAAATAATAATCCGGATCCAATTCGAAAATTAAGGAACAACGCAATCATCAACATTAACTGAAATAGATAATTATTTAGCTTATACGTCCATTATACATAAAACGCGCACGCGAAAACGTATTCTGCACTTGCGCACACTCATATGCGCAGTCGTAAAAGGTCTTATGCGCATGCGTAAACGCCTATGCGCATGTGTCAACACGGCGCATGCGCAGAAAGTTTTTAGTTTTGAGGTCCGGATTATAGATCATTCCGAATTAACGACTTTTGACTGTATATATATGTTTGTTTTATGTTTTAACTTGTTCCATCGTTTGTTTTTCCTATGTTTAAAGTTTTCAAGTGTCACATCGATAGGTATTTTACTGTATTTTTTGCCATTACTAGTTTCCAACACTTAGTATTTTACTGTGTTTAATTTCTCGTGTAACATAATTTTTCACCCTTCAATGACATTGTTTTTTTTTAGAAAATGTGTTGAACTTTTCTTGGAGCCCCAGCTCCTGGTAACTTTTTGGCGAGCTTTCTACAATTTCTAATATACTTAATTTTGCAGCATATTGCGCAAAAAATTATCTAGACCGAATTGGTCTTACGGTATTGTACTAACTACATAGCTTGTTAATATTATATATATATATATATGTATATATATATATACCAAGGTTGCCATAGTAGTACTTTGATACTACTCAGCATACGTATATATACTCTTATGCTCCACAGATAGTATACACTTACAAACATTCTGTGAGATTGCGGGGGGGGGGGCGGTATCTTCTCAACCTTTACACAGACTTAAAAAAATACTAAAACGACAAATATTGTGAGTGAGTTGTTAATTTTCATATGTTCTGCAGGATTCAACAGAGATAAATAAACATCTTACCATACTGTCTACAATATTTGAAACTAAACTATTTCTAAATTCATTATCTGTATGTAATAAGTCTGAAGCTGTATCTGAATCAGAAAGATAAAAATATGAGGCCAGTTTTATAAGCTTTGGGAAATAAACATTATCTAGAAGCATTAATAATAATAAAAAATTTTGTTGCTGTGAAGAATATTTTGTTTATCACTTTTTGCCATTGTAACTTAATTTCATGTTTGTGTGCACATTAGATAAAAAATATATAAAATAAAATTCTAACTTTAATTTGTAATAGCTCCTTAAGTATCCTCTTTAAAATTTCCCTTTTCTATCTTAAAAAAAATAATATTGTTATTACAACAAACTTTTTGAACTGCCCCATTTCAGAATTAATCCATGTCATGAGATTCTTATTTATATGTTGCTATTGATGCGTGTATTTGTGTAATAGCAAAAATAAAACTAAACTCTTTTAGCCTGTATAAGGTTCAAATTAAATGAAAATCTTTATCAGTGATTAATTTGCATATTTTGTGCCAGTTTAGCTGTGCTGGCATTTTTTTATTCAAGAATGTTTTCTCAAGAATAAAGAAGTATTCAATGTCACGATTGCAGGCATTCTGTATTTACTCAAAGTAGGACCCTCCTTCTATTTTTCTGCTATATTTTTGCCCTAATATTTGATAGGGTTTTATAAATGGATATACTGACAATTGTAGAATAAAAGAAAGGCGGTTAATTATCATACTGTGTAGAATAATTATACTTTTAAATGCTAAATAAACTACACTGGTAATTAACTGTGGGATTATATGGATTATATAACAGAAGATAAGTATATGCTAATCTACTATGATAGAATGAAAAAATGAAATTAACATAAGGAAACATAAACCTCACAACTATAGCATAGTCTGTGAATAGTTCATGTAGCAATCAGCAGTTCACTTAGATGTCTTTGCATTTATTGTCAAATCTGGGAAACAAGCGCAATGTTTAGATAAACAATTGCCAATGACTGTTGATAATCTATCCTTTGACCACCCATTGTCCAAATAACTGGAAGTCTGAAGCCTGTCAGCCTTGGATCTGGAACTGAAGCACGTCTCTCTCTTTTCACTTTTGGAATTCTTCTCCACTCCTCTTCTCGCTGCACTCCGCTGGCAGCAACTGAGATGAAATCAGACCGCACCTATACTTTTTACATTACGGTCTCTATAAACTGCATAATTACTATTGTTGTACATACTACTGGTATGCCTGAAAACAAGTAGATAGTCTCCTTAGGCCACAGCTAGTAGTACTATTATTTTAAGGAAATTTTGAAAGAAGGAAAAAAATAAGATTATTTTTCTCAAATTTACTGTAAGACGAAATAAGTATTCATCTACATTTGTATTTTTTAAGGCTTAACCTAAAATGTAAGGCGGGTGTATTTTTAAGAAATATAATAATCGTATTCATCAACTCCGTTATCACATTCTACATTACTAACTCAAAATTATCATTATGTTTATATATATATATACACATATTCTTTCATATATGTATATATATTTAAATTATTTTTATATTAAATTTCATTTTTAATGTGTTTTATGAACATTGCAAAAATATGAATGCTATTTTTCAGTGTACATTTTAGCACTGTAACATGGCATTTTCACTTAATCTGAAGAGAACCTCTTTCTGCATATTTGTCTTTTCAATGTTAAGAATGCTCTGAAGTCACATGGTGTAAAGCTCAAATTCTGGAAGAAAATTCTAGTGCTTCTCCTTTAATGTTAACGATCTAAATAATGCCACAAAAATAACATGCAGCTAGACTTTGTCCTAGAACAAAACCCCACTATGCTTGCTCTTGTAGCTTCACAAAAATAGATTTTCAGGATGTCTGTATCAAAACTTAATTTCTAAAATCAAAAGTGGCTTAGTCTTATGGAAGGCCGACAGGAAACTGGGAAAATAAATAAAGAAAATAACTAAAAATTAAAAAGTTCAATAAATTAATGCTTAAATTAAAATAAAAATTTAATAAAATATGAAAATGTAAATAAAAACTTAATAAATTATAAAATTCATCATAAATAGTTAAAAGAAATAAAATGTCAAAACTTCTCTTATTTGGAGTTACACCTTGACTTACAATTTCATTCAAAAACTAAAAAATAGCTCAGCCAGCCTCAGGCTGAATTTAAATCCTGAATATATGGTATAACATACTGTTTCAAGGAAGGAGAGAACAAAAACCACACTTTTTTCCAGTATACCAGTGGAAAAAAGTAAAATGATTCAAGTGTCATTAATGAGAATGAGAGGATGTTAGGAATATTAGGAGAATATGAAAAGATATTTTAATAAAGAGTAGCTTCGAAAACAAAGAAAAGTCGTACGCGTTCTGACTGTGATGCCTTGACAATATACAGTCAAAAGTCGCTAATTCGGACACCCATAATCCGGAAAGAATCTATAATCCGGACCTCAAAGCTACAAACTTGACGCATGCGCAGAAAGTATGTTGCAGATTGTGTTGTCTAATTCAGTTAATGTTGCAGATTGTGTTGTTCCTTAATCTTCGAATTGGATCCGGCTTATTATTTTTTTGCAGACTGTTAGAACAATTTTATAAAAGTAAGCTTGAACTTTCGATAGAATTTCCAATATATATTTACTAACATGTAAAGGATCTACAAAGCGAAAGCATGTTTCGAAGTCCATTAAACAAAAAGTGGAATTGCTGCAAAAGATGGATAAAGGCATATCCGTTGTTTCTCTAACTATTCCGAAACCTGTTTATCAATTTTACGCTGCTCTGCAGCCGGGGGGGGGAACGCCACGGTGCGCAATGAATTCGAAGTTGATCTGTCAGCACTATCCTTATCTTCAGGGCAGATTTTTTTTTATTTGTCTTAGAATTCCTTACTAAATGTAGTATTTCATCTCGATTTACTCCGTCTTTGATATGATTTAAATCAAATTCCTCGTCATTATAATTAGCTTCCGATAGTGAAGAGGTTATTGAAAACGAAAAAATTTCGATTGACAAATTAGTCGGTATTCTCGACACAGCAATTATAGGACTTGAACAGAGGAACTTTGTAACTGAAGAAAAAATTATGTCTGTTTATAGAATTAAGAGAAAGTATTATCACATAAAACAAAGCAACTTAAACAACTTACAGAACTTACAGAAAGAAATGTTTAATAAAGTAAACAAATAAATATTAAGCTTTTTTTTTTTTTTTTTTTTTTTTTTTTTGTAAATTTTGATACCCTTTAGATCATAATTGCTCATTATTTCATAAATTACGGTTTCATATTTTTAATTTTATAATTTCTGCATGCCATCTTACCAGATTTAAACTGATGATCGATAATCCGGAATCGCCGAAGTCCCGAAGAGTCCGGATTAACGACTTTTGACTGTAATTCTAGCTGTCAAGTAGAATGCAACTGGGGGGAGGCAATTCCCCTGAATTTGATCTGATAACAACATGAGAACGAACATAAGGTCTGCACAAGTGACAGTTTTTGTTCCCTGTATTTGGTTACATAGTTCAAGTCTGCAGTTTAGCAAAAGGACACTGATGTTGGCCATGCATGACCAAGTTAATCACTTTTAATGCTTTTGGGAACAAAGCGTTTTATTCACTGTCATAAATGCATCGCACTATCTGGAGAATAAGACTTTGACATGTAATAGGGATTTTTCTTTCCCTAAAAGTCATAACCTCCATCAAAGTGTCTGTTCCTCAGAGAAAGATATACATACATTCGGAAGTTGTAATAGATTTTTAAGGCATATTTATTTTTAAAATAAAATTTGTCTGCTGAAACTCTGTTTCACTTACTTAAAAGAAGTTCCGGAGCCCTTTTATGTAGGACTGTGGTGCTCTCTAGCTAGACTTAGGATTTACCTCGGAAACTGTGAAGTACTGAGCCAAACTCCAGCGCAATTTAAGCTCTGGTTTACATAATAGCTACTATTCATTGCTCATGGATTGGCATTATTGACATCCATAGCCACAATGGATGACCTGCCAGAATAAGCTTTGTTGATCACTTGTATGTGGCTGTCTTTGAAGTAGAATTGAAATACAGTGTACTCTCAAGTGTGGATTATCTAGTTTGGGGATCATCTGTGTGTAGCAATGCCCACCCATGTACATTCTATGCTATATGTGAGCATAGTAGAAAACACTGCTCAAAGTCCGAGATCCGAACTCCTCGGGACTTCGGTGATTCTGGATATTAGATCATCAGTTTAAATCTAGTGATACGATGTGCAGAAATTATTTAATTTAAAATACGAAATCATGATTTATGAAATAAGGAAGTATCTGTGATCTAAAGCAGAGCTTAAACTGCTTCGGAGCCCAGCTCCGGTACTTCTTAGTTGTGGGGATAAATCATAATTCTAGGCAGAGTGCACCGGAGCCCTACGTACGAAGGCTCCGGTACTTATTTAATGTAACTGAACAACAACTTCAGTAGAAATTTGATCTTGAAAATTTTGTTTTTAACAATGAAATTCTATTAAAAATCGCTTATTAAATTTTAGCTTATCTCTTTACATTTTATATTAATTTAATTACCTAATATTTAATTATTTAAATAAATAATAATGAATTAATTTTTATTAATTTAAATAATTAAAGATTAAGGTTATTAAATAATAATTGATGAATGTTAATTAAGTAATTATGAATTAATTTGATAATTATTAACTATTTAATTTTTTAATTATTAATGATTTTAATAGTCATTCTATTTCTTTATTTATTTTAGTTCCTCTTTACTGACGGTCTTCTATAGGGCTCAGGCACTTCTAATTTTAGAAATTAAGCCCTGATATAAAGGGTATCAAAATTTACAAAACAAACAAAAAAAAACTTAATATTTATCTGTTTACTTTATTAAACATTTCTTTGAATATAAATTGTTTAAGTTGTTTCATTTTTTGTGCTTATACTTTCTCTTCAATTCTGTAGACAGACACAATTTCTTGTTCATTTATACAAAGTTATGCGAGTCCAAGCTTGTGCTAAAAGCCACTAAATTGCATCTTTAGTTTTAGTTTCAGTGATTACCTTGTACAGTCAAAAGTCGTTAATTCGGACACCCATAATCCGGAATGATCTATAATCCGGACCTCAAAGCTAAGACTTTCTGCGCATGCGCCGCGTTGGCACATGCGCACAGGCGTTTTACGCGTGCGCGTAAGGCCTTGACTACTGCGCATATGCGTGTGCGCAAGTGCAGAATACGTTTTAGCCTGCGCGTTTAATGTATAACGGACGGTGTAAGCTAAAATTATCTAATTATCTATTTCACTTAATGTTAATGATTGCGTTGTTCCTTAATCTTCGAATTGGATCCCACTTATTATTTTTTGCAGACTGTAAGAGCAATTTTATAAAAGTAAACTTGAACTTTCGATTATGTCAAATAGAATTTCCGATGCTGGAACTTTCAAAGGATCTACAAAACGAAAGTATGTTTCGATGTCCAACAAACAAAAAGTGGAATTGCTGCAAAAAATGGATAAAGACATGAAGAATGTGATAGAGAGGTTAGTGAAAACGAAAAAATTTCGATTGACAAGTTAGTCGGTATTCTCGTCACAGCAATTAACGGGACTTGAACAGCGGAACTTTGTAACTGAACAAGAAATTATGTCTGTTTATAGAATTAAAGAGAAAGTATTATCACATAAAATGAAGCAACTTAAACAACTTACATTGAAAGAAATGTTTAATAAAGTAAACAAATAAATATTAAGCTTTTTTTTTTTTTTTGTAAATTTTGATACCCTTTAGATCATAATTGTTCTTTATTTCATAAATTACGGTTTCATATTTTTAATTTTAGAATTTCTGCATGCCATCTTACGAGATTTAAACTGATGTTCTATAATCCGGAAAAATCGATAATCCGGAATCGCCGAAGTCCCGACGAGTCCGGATTAACGACTTTTGACTATACAATCCATTATTCATGTGCTTAGTTGAATGCATCGTTTCAGTTAATCACTGGGATTTTTTTGATTCATACATGTTTTCAAGCATATTTTCTTTTAGGTTCTTTAAAAATTTTAGGACTAAAAAATGAATAAAGACCACACTACAAGTACTAAGCATAAGAAATTTGTATACCAAAAAAATTGAAAAAGTAAAATTCTTTGAAAATGACAATCGGGAAAACATTGAGGAATGATTTGATGGTAACTCGACTGAGCCGGGCTTTCATTGCTTGAGTCAGAGAGCTGTACTGAAAGTACAGGTGAAGATGTTGACAATTATGATATCTCAAAGCAGCAGAACTTCATCAACCAAAGACAATTTGAATACAACAATGAAATAGTACTTTGAAAATTATGCAGTGAAATTCAATAAATATTTAAATATTTTCAAAAAAAATGTAAAATTACTTTTTTTTAATAAGAAATAAACGTACAAACTATGCATGAAAATTGAGAGTTTGGGTTATCTGTGACTTGCGTCTTTGCCATTAGGCCAGATAATTGAGAGTACATGGTATTGAAAGGCTACAAAATATTTCCCCAGTGTATAAATGCTATAACTGTTCAAGAATTTCGTTACTTGTCCCAAGTTCAATACAAAATCCACTTGCATTTTTGCCAAGTTTTGACAAAGACTTTTTTATCTGCACAGCATGCTTCCATTTGGTTCTACAACAATCTTCTTTTTGCATATGTACAATATGTTTCCATTTGGTCCATCAAAGATCATATCATTTGCACAAGCATGTTTCCATTTGATGATTCAAATGATAAACATGATGGCTGTTCAAATGCAGGCTCATGATATATGGATATATGGCCTTCGTAAACCTAAGTAAAGAATTTCCATGTTTGATATTGAAAAAGAGAAATAAAAACAGGCCTGAAAATTTTGCTGTCGCTCTCTCAGTATATACGGTATAAGCTAAAGTTTCATTAAAACATTTTAATGCGATCTTTTTAAATTAATCCTTTTTTTAACATGTCCATGGGAAAATCATGCCTATAAGGCAGCCTAAACTAATACATATACATATATGTGTGTGTGCATGATGCGTAAAAAATATAAAGTAAAATGTTTACTTTAATTTACGATAGTCACTAGATTTAATTTCAGTTTTAATTTGGCGATTTTCCCTTTATGTCATAAAATTTGTAACTCTTTATTATAATGAACTTCTGTAAACTGCATCATTTCGAAATTAATAGCTGTCATACATAAATGCTTTAGCTGTCACTTTACATTAATGCTTTAGCCAATCAATAGGTGAAACACGAACTAGCTCATTTGGGAACCGTAACTTTTTCATTTTGAATATATCATATTCCTGTTTCTCCTTGCTGTCCAGTAGACATCTTTTCATAAACCGCATTGCCATAAGATGCGGAACTGACAATAAATGTGATCAAGATGGTCATGCAGATTGTGTCCATTATGATATGTAATGCATTTTAACTATGTGCTTATCAAAAATAAAAATATATATATCTTATCAGCCATGATTTTAAGTATCCGAATCTTCTCTTATGTATTTATATATATTTTGATACTTTATCCTTTAACTTGGTATTAAAAAAAAGTTTTAATGTTGCTTTATTTGAAGGTACATTGTATGTATATAGATCATTTAATTATGCTTCTGTTCAACATCTTTAGAATATAAAGCTTATGAACGTGCGATCGTATGTATGGTGAACCTTTATTCTTTTTAAACAACTTCAAAATGAAAGGCCAGATAATTGATATTTATCTAATATAATTTATCTTATTGATATTTATCTAATATAATCTTCTATTTATTTATATATAATTTATCTTAACTATGAAACCATCTGATATCAAGGCTAATTTTATGATGCATGAATATACTTCTGAAAGAATGCAAAAATTAATGTATTTATAATTTTAAATCTTTTTCAGGTAAACGGAAGTCGTCTGATGCAAATCCTAGTAAAGGCGTGAAATCAATAAAATTTTGTGTGGCTTCTGATCGGCCAACTCCCGAACTTCAGGACCGTCATATTAAAGACGAAAAAATCTCAAATAAAAATGCTAATTTGAACCCATCTTCTAAGCATTCCACATCTGTAAATGCATGCCATGATAAATTTGAACAGCAACCAAGTAAAATCTCTGAATCATCTGCAAAGCATACTAAAATAGATGTAAGACTCTTACAGCATATTGCTGACGAAGTAAAGAAACAAATTACAGCAAAAGAGAGGCCTTTTGATGCAATATCACATGCAGTTGAAATTTTAGGAATTAAAAGATTGTCACAATTCAAAACCAAAAAAACGAAAACTGGATCACAGACAATGTATTCTTGTGATTTCAGTATTGATCATTTTAAAATATCATCTGAAATTGATGTAACTCCTTTTAAAGCAAAATTAAAAGCGGCAGAGTCTGGAGTTGCTTATTTTATGAATCCATTAAATTTCAATTTAAAATCATTTACAAGAGTAAAAAATGAAGATGTCTCTGAACATGAACAACAGCAAAATAATGCAGCCTCCAAAGGTATTAAATTAGAAGAAATAGCTTCATCAATAGAGGAAGATAAATCTACTAATAGTACAGTATGTACAGACAAAAAATCAAAGGCAGTTAAAAGCAATCATTTAAATTATATCCAGAAATACATACAAGAAGTTCGAAATCTGCTTGCAAAAAAAGTGTTTCCTGCATGTGCTATTAGAGATGCTGCTCATAATATGAAAATAACGGATAAAATTGATCTCCAGGTAAATATGGATCCGAAGAGTCCTAAGCATAAACCTGTATTTAATGCTCGCTTTTCCATAGAAAATCATTTAATTGCATCCTCAAATGGTAGCAGCAAAAAACATGCTAGGGTGACTACCTTAGAATCTGCAATTAATATTATGTTAAATCCATCAGAATTAGTGTCTGTGCTAAGTAATGTATGCAAACAGTGTAGAGATAAAGCTTTAGAGGATACATTTAGTAATAATATGCATATTTCAAGTATAGCAGATGGTTCTGAAAAAGCAGAATCTGATTTATCAGTCAACTTAGAACAACATAAGATTTCTGTTAAAGACTACTGTCATCCACAAGAGAAATCTGGGAAAACAGAACCTGTTATATTAACAAACTCAGAACAGATTAGGACTTCTCCTGAAAATAATCTTACTTTTCAGGAGATGCCTGGAAAAGTAGAACCAGGCTTATCAACTGAACCAAAACAACAAAGGAAAAATAATCATAATGTACCAAAAATGGGAAATGTAATTTCTTACAGAAACAATAATAAGCAAAATCTAAAAAAATTATGTTTTTCTGATATGGATGATCAGACTCTCATTAAGATTCTATCAGGACGACTTAAAAATATTACACAAAAAAATATGAATTCATACAATAAAATATTACTTGCAGTAAGAGCTACGAATATGATGGATTTTATAAAATTTAATACTACTACAAACTCTAATATAACAGGAGACAACCTTACATTCTGTTGTGAATTTTATGTGAGAAATACCTTAATAGCCAGTGGGACAGGTCTCGAGGTTAAGAAAGCAATGCAAAAAGCTTGTGAAAATACTTTGAGTGTTCTGACTGGTGAAAGCATTGATAATGTTGCACCTCCATGTGAAACAGAAACTAGTCTGTATGATGCAGTTTCTTCAAAACTGAAAAATGTGTCGTTTGATTGTGTAAACAAACCATTGTTTGATTCTTCAGTTCAAAGAAAATTTGTCTTACTTGATGATTCAGAGTATAAGTTAAAATGTGATACGAACCCAACGTCTATACTTATAGCTTCTGCAGCATTTAGTCATAAAGCATGCACATATAAATATGAAACAGTGGAGAGTGGAATGCCACAGAAGTTAATCAGGTAGGCTATTTTTAATTCATATTCTTTTTGAAATTTTGAAAGAGGAAAATGAGTAATCTTGTAATTTTTTATTATTTTATATTCTTTTTCTTCTTGAGTATTGTTTAAAGGGTACTTTTGTATTATCCTGTCTAGTGCAAAACTGTTACCAAGCAGTATGATTTAGAACCAAGTATAGATCAGCGTGACATCACAACACATTCATAACATCCGCACTTTTCTTCGATCTAGTCTTGAGTAATTGAGTCACTTTTTGTTTTCATGAATAAGGATTTTAATTAACCATTATTGTTCTATATTTTTCTTACATTTTAGAAAAAAAATAATAATAATAATAAGCATTAAACTTGGGTCCTGTCTTTTGCAGAAGAGCAGGCAGTCAATCGTTTCCAAAATTATGGGATCCTATTGTTGTTTTCGAAATTTTTGTTCTTTGAAGAACCTTAAGAGTTAAAACTCAGTAGTATGTGTAGAACCAATGTTCTCTGCTGCAGAAGTATAAATTGCACAAAGTTGAAAACATAAGCTTTAATCGGTTACTTTCTAAAAAGTCGTAAAATTCTTCTTTTCGTAAAAATAGATGAACATATCGTGTCAGACTATGACTCGTATGTATGAATGTACTTGACTGCTACAACAGGATTTGATGGTATCAGAACATGATATTTCTTCCAGTGCGTTGTTCTATGTTAGGACTCTATGGATCACATTTCTCCACCATGCTCAAGAGAATCACAGCTACTGGAAAATAAATACCTAGAATAGGCAGGGCAGGAAAAGACAGTCTTCAGCACCATCAGAAACAGAAAGACAAACAACCCTTTCTCTTTCCATCAGGACGATCCTTCTGCGCAATTATATAGTTCACCTTTTCTGCTCAGTGCAGTTGTGAATGGGAGGAATGAAAATTTTCAACTTTCCCTCAATGAGTTGAAAAAGAGAACAAAACAAAAATGACATTCATTAGTTAATTTTCAAATCCTTATGGATTCATGCACTTTCTATGTTTGTCTCTGCCGAAATTCTCACTTAAAATATCGGCTGGCATTCTGTTGTAGACACATACTTAATGTCAGTTTCTTTATTATCACATAACTTTCTTATATAATGAAATCGAGTATATCGATGTGCTTTGTTCGAGAGTGATGAACTGGATTTTTCACTAAATATTGTGCACTTTGATTGTCATTGTGCAACACAGTTGCTTCTGTTACCTTTTCCAAAAAACCTAGCTCTCTTAATAACAAACAAAAATGCAACACTTGTTTTGAAGCTATGTATTCTGCTTCAGTGCTTGATAGCGCTACAATTCTTTGTTTGCATGATTCCCAAGAAATCGCGCTTCCTCCTAATATGAAATTATAGCCACTAAATGATTTCCTGCCGAGAGTATTGAAAATATTTTGGTTACTATTAAATTGACTAAGTCTACTAACAGAATTTGCAATACCAGGTCATGTAGATACAGCTAAGTAAGTTAAGGATCCAATTAATGATTAATACTTAATTTTGTCTACACTTTCATTTTCTTTGGCGACATTTGATGATTGCATAGTTGCTTTCCAATTATCTGCATCTGGTCTTGGTAAAGCTTCTTGTACAGTTTCTGAATCAGCAAAAACTTCAGAATTTACCAAATTAGCATGTTTTTGTTGATAGATTTTTCTTGGTCTACCTGGTTTTCCTGTTTTTAGAAACTTAGATCTTCTTGGTCCTTTTTCTGAATTTTGATCTTTAATTGTGTTTTCTTCAGCTTCTGCTTTTCCTTCATTTGGCATTTCTGAATTTTCTTCAGTAGGAATAAATTCTATGAATTCCTCTTCACCTTCAGTTGAAGTTTTTGAGCTGGCTTCTGTTTCCGGGATTTTCAAAACTCTGACATCACGACTTTATGTTACTTCAGAAGTTCCAGGCTTCCATAGACGATATGCTTCCTCAGAATATCCAATAAAAAATATATTCTTCACTTTTTGGGAGAAATTTGTTTTTTCTGTTTGAAGTTGTTAATGCAAAAGCTTTTCTTCCTATGATCCTGAAATGAAATACTGTAGGCTTTCTTTTAGACCATATTTCTTCTGGTGTTTTTGATACGTTTTTTTATCAGACATCTGTTGTGAATGTAAGTGGCTGTATTCACCATTTCTGCCCACAATCCATGAAGTAATTTTTAATTTTGATTTGAACAGCAGACATCTGACCATTTCAACTAGGGTGCGATTGACGCGTTCTGCAACTCTGTTCTATTGTGGTCTATACTCTACTGAAAAATATCATTAAATGCCCACCTTTTCTAAAGATTGATTAAATTCTTTTGCACTTATGTTGCAAAATATTTTCAGTTGCTTTCCCGTTTGCTTCTCAGCCTGAAATTTGTACTTTTTAAATGCTTCAAGCGTTCGGGCCATTTCTGTAAGGTGTGCACAGTAATTTTCCACGATTTCTTGGCGATGAATGTTATGAAGTATTTTGCACCACCTAAAGATGTGACATTCATGGGGTCACATATATCAGCGTGCATAAATTCAAATACAGTCAAAAGTCGTTAACCCGGACTCGTCGGGACTTCGCCGATTCCGGATTATCGATTTTTCCGGATTATAGATCATCAGTTTAAATCTCCTAAGATGGCATGCAGAAATTCTAAAATTAAAAATATGAAACCTTAATTTATGAAATAAAGAACAATTATAATCTAAAGGGTATCAAAATTTACAAAAAAAAAAGCTTAATATTTATTTGTTTACCTTATTAAACATTTCTTTCAATGTAAGTTGTTTCAAGTTGCTTCGTTTTATGTGATAATACTTTCTCTTTAATTCTATAAACAGACACAATTTCTTGTTCAGTTACAAAGTTCCGCTGTTCAAGTCCCGTTAATTGTTGTGCCGAAAATACCGACTAACTTGTCAATCGAAATTTTTTCGTTTTCACTAACCTCTCTGTCACATTCTTCATGTCTTTATCCATTTTTTGCAGCAATTCCACTTTTTGTTTGATGGACATCGAAACATACTTTCGTTTTGTACAATCCTTTGGGAGCTTCGGAATCGGAAATTCTATTTGACATAATCGAAAGTTCAAGTTTACTTTTATAAAATTGCTCTTACAGTCTGCAAAAAATAATAAGCCGGATCTAATTCGAAGATTAAGGAACAACGCAATCATCAACATTAACTGAAACAGATAATTAGATAATTTTAGATTATACCATCCGTTATACATAAAACGCGCACGCGAAAATGTATTCTGCGCTTGCGCACCCGCATATGCGCAGTGGTAAAAGGTCTTACGCGCATGCGTAAACGCCTATAATGTGTCAACGCGGCGCATGCGCAGAAAGTTTTTAGCTTTGAGGTCCAGATTATAGATCATTCCGGATTATGGGTGTCCAAATTAACGACTTTTGACTGTATTACATCACAGTTTACTGCACGCGTTTCCTTTGGGAATGGTAACCTTGTTTGTTTGCATTTTAGTATAAGTTTCACAAAACAGAGTTTGACTATTACATTTTAGAATTTTTAGACCGTGTACTAACTTGTTGGAATGGATTATTTTTAAGTTGGCTAGATTTAAGTGACCACATCTCTCATGCAACAGTTTGAGTTTACTGTTTGAATTATTAATATTACCACATTCGAAACCTCAATTACATACTTGTGATTTACAACATATAGACCATTTTGCTTCATTGCATATAAAACTGCGGACTTATTTTTGTCTTTAATCCACACATGGTTATTTCTAAAGTAAACAGTACATTTACATTGCATTTCTGCATTAACTGAAATTAAGTTCATTTTTAGGTTGGGAACATAGGTTGGAAATACTCCATCATTAAGTATTAGGTGTTGCGAACTTGAAAAAACACTTGCTTAAGTTTCAACTTTCCCTTTACCTTTAACCTCTAAAAACTCATTATTTGCTAACTTCACTTTTTATGTTAGTAATTTAGTAATTGAGGTAAATATACTTTTGTCTTTGCACATGTGTTCGGTTGCTCCTGAATCAAGGTACAAATTATATGTTCCTAATCCTCGAGTTGTATTCACAATCGTGAGAGAACATGCTTTAGGGGATTTTTGATTAGGATTTTTGGTTTAGGTTTGTCTGCATTCTGATGCGTTGTGGCCTTTTCTGTTTCAATTATAACGCTTGAACATTTTCACCTTCTTAGACTTTTTCGTGTTGCCATGATATTTAGTAACTACTGCATCCTGCATTTAGCTGTTTTCTGTAGCTTTGAATTGGTGACTTTTAGCTTCGTCTAGTAACTTAACTTTTAGTGTGTTAAAGTCTGGCAATTTATCATGAGATTCTATCGCAATTCTAAAACTTTCAAATTCTTCGGTTAGGCTGCATAGTAGCAAAATTGTTAGAAATTCTTCGGGAATTTCAGATCCTTTTTCTGCTAGTTTATCTACAACTTTAAAGAAAGAAGTTAAATACTCCTGAATGTTTTTGTTCGCGTTCATCTTTTTCGAGATGAATTGCTTCATGAAGCTAACTCTAGTAATAGGGCCTTTAGGCTGATAAATTTCGTGTAACTTCATCCATGCTGTAATTGCAGGTATTACATTGCAGGCTTCATGGTTAAATAAGGCACCATTTAACAAAACATTTATTAAAAATAACATTCAAAAATAATAGTAAACTCAGAACAGTACGTCGCTCCTACAGCATAGCGAAATCTACCACCTTCCTCTTCTGAAGTTAACATGCAATTCACTTAAAATACAGTAATCCTTCTTGGAGAAGAGGCTACACGTGCCAAGCACGCTCTGTTGATCACCAAACAGTCGCCAGATACTACACATGCCTCGTATGAAGTTTGGCAGTTTTCAATGTGTACTACATCAGATGATTTCACGTTCAGAGCAATAATTGCTAAAGCTTTTTGATCTTTTGAGACCCACTTGTCAACTTCATCATAAAAAAAAATCATATAATAAAAAAGGGGGGCCAGCACAGGTCTTTAGAATTCAAGAAAAGCACACCACAATAATTCCCTATTGCCGGTTTAACTATGGAATGTGTAGTGTAGCTAAAAGGGATTGAGAGTGAAAAAATGAGGAAAAAACTGGATTAAGTGTATGTGGGGACACCAAATTTTTTTAAGTCCGTAGTCCTCTAAAGTCTTAATCTGGCCCTAATCCTGCCCTATGATGAAGTCATATTTCATAGAATATAGTTTCTTGATGCTATATTCTTACAAAACAGTTGTGCTACATTGGTATATTAAATACTATATATGCACCTTTTATACTTCAACAAAAATTATTTTTCCAACAAATTCATTCAGAATCAGATTTGCACTGGAAGCTTCGTATAAATTACATTAATGTAATTCAAACAAAATTTCTGTATATACTTAATGTGAACCACATTGCTATTTAATTATTTAGAGTATGGTTATAAAAAAACTTTCATTTGAAAAGATGGGATACATTATGGAACTTCCTGTAAAGTGAATGAATAGCGAAAACGTCACTGGCTGGAGAAAACTGTCCCATGATGATATGAGTCCACTCTTTTCTAAACTAATAGTTTCATTTTCTGATTAGTGTGTGCTGTTGTATTGTTTTCATTATTATTGTATGGAATTTATTTTTACTGCTTGTATATATAATTTAAATTGTCAAAATTTTTCAATAAAATATTTTTAAAAACAAGATGTAAAAATACAATTCTGAAAAGAAAATGCTTTTGTAATTTTTTTTTTTAATACTTAATAGCTTTGCACCTGAATAGCTTTACATAGTCTTTTGTAAATAAAAATAAGTCACAAAATTCTGCAACACTGTTATTTTATAAATTTATTATGTTATTTTATGTATTATTCTTAGCTAGTTTTTCATTATATATATATTACTTCTGGTTTTGAATTTTTCTATAGCCTTGCCTATATGGATGACAAAACACGAATTGAGTAAGTAATTAAAGAGTTAGGTTTGGAGGCAACTTTCCCTTGATAAGTCTGCCTCCTTCCTGCTCAACAATTACAGACAAAAGTCTTTAATCTGGACGTTCATAATCCGGAATGACCTATAATCCGGACCTCAAAGCTACAAACTATTTGCGCATAATACCTTTACGCATGCGCATATGCGTTTATTCATGTGCATAATACGTTTGTGCATGCACGTTTAATGTATAACGGACGGTATAAGCTAAGCTAAAATTATCTAATTATCTATTTCAGTTAATGTTCCAGATTGCATTGTTCCTTAATCTTCTAATTGGATCTGGCTTATTTTTTGCAGACTGTTAGAGCAATTTTATAAAAGTACGCTTGAACTTTCGATTATGTCGAAAAGAATTTCCGATTTTGGAGCTGCCAAAGGATCTACAAAGCGAAAGCATGTTTCGATGTCCATCATACAAAGAGTGGAATTGCTGCAAAAAATAGATAAAGGCATATCCTTTGTTTCTCTAACCATTCTGAAATCTGTTTATCAATGTTACGCTGCTCTGCAGGGGGGGACGTCGCGGCACACATTGAACTGGAAGTTGATCTGTCAGTACTATCCTTATCATCAGGGCAGATGTTTTTATTTTATTCGGCTTATAATTCCTTGCTAAATGTAGTATTTCATCTCGATGTACTCCATCTTTGATATGATTTAAATCAAATTCCTCGACATTATAAATATCACGATGACACCTCAAATAGTTTTCTGGTTGCAATTTTCTAATTTCGACTATGCGTAATGTATGCTTTACGCATGTGCGCGTTGAAAGAAATGTTTAATAAAGTAAACAAATAAATATTAAGATTTTTTTTTATAAATTTTGATACCCTTTAGATCATAATTGCTCTTTATTTCATAAATTACGGTTTCATATTTTTAATTTTATAATTTTTGCATGCCATCTTACCAGATTTAAATTGATGATCTATAATGCAGAAAAACCGATAATCAGGAATCCCAAAGTCCTGACGAGTCCGGATTAAAGACTTTTGACTGTATTCACTTATGCAGATTAATTTGGTCGTAAAAATTTTTTGAGATTAATTTTTTGGAATATTATATTTTTTCATGGTGTTTCATTCATAGTGCACTTAATTTACATATTTTCTTTGAATTTAAATGATATTGTAAATTAATTTGCAGCCATAATTAATTTTTTTTAGCAATTAAAATTTTTTAATTAAATTTTTAATTATATTAGCATTTTACAAATAGTAAATATTTGTTAAATTCAAATTTCATTCCTTGCAGCAATGGCACGAGAGAATTATTTAAATTTAATTTAACTTTACTATATTCTTGTGAAACAATATATGTATGCTCAAAAAGTTTCGAACTTCTGTATGAGAAATGATATACAAATGATGATAGACAACTTACACTTTTATTTCACTTTTGCCATTTGTAATGTATATCTTTCATACAGTATATTCAGAATGTTTATTTTATTGCAGGGCTGAAATTAATTTTGATGGAGAGACTGTTGGCAGTGGTACAGGAACCACTAAAAAAGAGGCTAAACTTGCAGCTGCGAGAGATACTTTGGAAAAACTTAGGAAAAAGGTTTATACTATAAAAGTTAGTATGCTAAGTTTCTTCAAAAAGAAATTAAGTTTTTTTTTTTTTTTTTTTTTTTTTTTTTTTTTTTTTTTCAAAAAATGAACAACATACAGTTACAAAAGTTATCAAAAGCAGTGTTTGCAATTTTGGCAACCACAAAGCACCTGTCTATATTATTAAAGCATTTACCTCAATGCAAATGAACATGGTGATAAGTTATCATCCACAATGTTTTAGTTCAGGTGCTTTTATAGAGGCATTAGTCCTCCCCAAGAAACATAAGATTCTGCTGTGTATTCAGTGGGATTTGAACCACATAGCGTCTAGTTTCTAGCTGGAAATGCTGTCACTTACACCAGCGTTTCTCTAACTGTGGTCCTAATAGCCTGCCCTAGATTTGGAAAAAAAAAAAAAAATTCAAACTGTGTAGAACTTACTATAGCTGACCATCTCAGAGTTTGGAAATTATGATAGTATAATTGTTACCATTTTTTTCCGAGGCTGATGTTTTATAAAATTTGCTACTGGTTACCCTATCTACTTGCTTCCCACTCCAGTCTTAACCACAAAAGATGAATTCAAAAATCATCATTCACTTTTAAAGGGCCAAAATATTCATGTATACATTACTCAAATTTGAAATTATATGAAATATAATGGTAATAAAAATATGTAAACTAGCAAAATTTTTAATGCACATCAGGGTGTGCAAAATTCTGGAGCTCAGACCTTTCTATGTAAATTGTGTTAAAATATAAAAGGTAGGAATGCTACACTAACTTTTATGAATCGATAATTATAAAGGCACCATTGTTTCATATATTTGTGTATATATATACATATATTTAACAAATAATTTCTATTTGTAAAAAGCAAATAAAAGTTAATGAAATTTAATTCCAAACAAAATAGTTTCAAGAGAATAAATAGTAAAGTTAAATTAAATTTAAATAATTTAACAAACTTTCTCTACTTGTAAAAAGCAAATAAAAGTTAATGAAATTTAATTGCAAACAAATAAATGATTAATTATTGCTACGAACTAATCTACAATATCATTTAAATTCTGAGAGCATATGTAAATCACGTGCAAGTATCAAAATATCCATGAATAAATATATAATTCCAAAAAAAATTTTTAATCCTAAAAAAATTTTTTAAATGCTTAAGTGAATAATTGTTGAGCAGGCAGGAACTTATCAATGGGAAGTTGCCTCTAAACCTCTCTCTTCAATTATTCAATTCGTGTATCGTCATCCGTGTATGCAAGGGTAAAATTCAAAACCAAATGCCGTGAATTACTAAAAAGAAATTTAAATAAGTGGAATTTTGAGAAATTAGCAAGTAAATGACTAAAATTAAAATTTAAAAAAAAGTTAATTAAGAGTAGAGAGCCAAAGTAATTTAGAAACTCTTGCTTGCAGAAAACTTCCCCGACATGAATTATGCATATAAATCGAAAAGAAACTAGATACTATTTATAAAAAATACATAAATAATACTAAAACAATAAAACTAAAAAGGCAAGTAAATTTTAATTTAACTTACCAACCATATTTGTATTTGGAGAGTGGAGCAAAATTTGCCAAACTAAGTGATGTTAAGTAGTGTGTTTCTGCTAACTTTATAAATAGAAGATGCTAATATGAGGTTGAGTGTTAAGCTACTATCTGTTAGATCTATTTTATAAACCTATTCTGTAAATTTTTAAGTAATGTAAAATGCGTGTTCTGTTGCAAAAATCTTGCTAACTGTGAAGTATTGTAAAAATGTGTAAAAAATTGTAAAAATGCTAACTGTAACATTATGTGAAAAAATGGTTGCAAACTATTAAGGATTGTAAAAAATTAAAAATGTTTTTGAAATAAAGTACAAAAAAAATTTTTGAAGTAAAATTAAAAAATTTAATTTTAATTTTGAAAAATATTTTAAATGTTTTTAATAAAAGTAAGAAATGTATTGTAATAGTCTTAATTAAAACTGAATTTCAACAGGTTCAATCAAAACTTTACTAAATACTGGCCAAAAGTAAGGAAAATTAGAAAAAGATAAAAATCTTCACTCAATACGGCCTTATATATAGATAGATAGATAGATAGATAAACTTTAAAATGTATATATATATATACAGGGTGTACCGCAAATGTTGGGACAGACTTCTAGGGGAGGTAGGACACATCATAAGGATTAAGAATTGCATAGGAACCAATGCTCAGAAACATCACTGTATGCGAGTGCTAGTGGAAAGTGAGGATTGCCGCATTCGAGCAGTAGGCACCATACAAAGAGCATGGAATGCTGTACGAACAGAGAGCTTGCAGACATGCACTTAGTATATGGAATAGCTGAGGGTAATGGAAGAGCCGCTGCATACTTTTATCGAGAACGCTTCCCCGACAGACATCAACCACACAATAGTTTGTTCTTACGTCTGAATCAAAATTTGTGTGACTATGGGCCATTAAGAAATGGCAGGACAAGTGAAAGCAGGCCATGATCGACTCGCTCAGTCCTTAGGAAAGAAAATGTGTTGGATACATTATAGAGTAATCCAAGGACCAGCATGCGTGCCATTTTCTCTCAATTAAGAATATTTCATACCATAGTCCAGCGTATCTTGACCGCCAAGTCCTTCCACGCCTTTCATTTCTAAAGGGTCCAGTTACTGCTTTCCGATGACTAACCTGAACATGTGGGTTTCGCACAGTGGTTTCTACAAAAAAGTGCCCATGATGTTAATTTCCCAGCTTATGTACTTTTCACGGATGAGACAACATTCACTAGGGATTATATGTTCGTTCAAGACAATCTCAGCATTTTTGGGCTCAAGAAAACCCCCACGGTGTGCAGCACCACGCGGCACAACAACGCTTCGAAGTCAGTGTGTGAGTGGGTTTGGTCGGCGACTGCTACCGTACCTTTTACCATCCAGGATGAATGCCGTGAATTATCTGATCTTTCTGGAGCAAGTTCTTTCCAGCTTGCATGACGATGTTCCACTGAATATGAGGTGCAACACATGGTTCCATGATGGGGCGCCTGCTCATTTTGGACTGGATGTTCGTAGCCATCTGAACAGATTATTCCTGCATCGATGGATAGGGCGTGGTGGACTAGTTCCCTGGCTCCCACGCTCACCAGATTTATCGAGGCTTGATTTCTTTGTGTGGGGAGCCATCAAAAGTGTTGTGTATCACGATCCTATTGTGTCTGAAATGGATCTCGTGGTGAGACTCACCTGCGCAGCTGCTACAATCAAAGAAACTCCTGTGTTTTTTAACGTTATTGGCAATCAATGGTCCGTCGGTATCAGGCATGTTTGGCATCTGATGATGCAAACTTTGAGCATCTGTTGTAACATTCAAGCTGTCAAAACACCATTTGTATTCATGTCCAGTAAAAGTTTAAAATTAATCACTCTCTTGTTTCCTTTCCTATCTTCTACCTCTCTGCTACCACTTACCCCTGACATTTCCGGGTATAGGTACCTATGCGATTCTTAATCCTTATAATGTGCCTTACCTCCCCTAAAAGTTTGTCGCAACATTTACGGTACACCCTGTATATATATATATATATATATATATATATATATGGTTATATATGGTTGTAGCAAAAGAGTTTTGCCAAAAATATGTTCTTAATAAAGTTAGGAAAAAAAACATGAAAGCAGTAGCTTTAGCACGGGTAGTAATCAACACCTAAATCTATAATTTTCTGCCAACATTTCAGTAGTTCTTCAAAGCCTTCAGCACAAAAACTTGGTGTCCGCAAGATGAATAACAGATCAACCAATTTCGGACATTCTGTGCAGAACGGAAGATGGCACCAGCAAGACTGCATGTGTAAAAAAAAGGTAGGAAACCGAAGGTGTGATGTCTGGGCTATGTGGTGTGAGTGGCAAAAGATCCCATTCAAGTCTGTACAGAGGACAGCCAGTGAATGCAGGCACATGTGGTCTTTCATTATCTTAATGGAACATTATCTTTTTGTGCTGAAACTCAGTTTGACATTTTTCCTTGATAGCAGCCTCAACATGGACTTTCATCTCACTGTACACCTTACTGCCGAGGGTTTTATCTTTTCCCAGGTAGTCTTTATGGGTAGTACCACGGCAGCCCCCCCCGGATACAAAGCATGATCTTTTTGATACACAAATTGTGCTGTATGAGAGTGCCGATGGGCTCACCGGATGCTGACCAACCTGTTTACCAGCCTATGTTATTGAAGTAAATACATTTTTCATCGCAAGTGATAATCAAGTCCAGAATTTTGTCCTTGCATTGATATTTGAGCAGATTAGTGCATGTTCGAACACATCTGTCCTTATCTGCTTAAGCCAGCTCATGAGACACCCAGCAGTTGAACTTGTACACTGCTAAAAAAAAAATGGGACAGTCCTATATCTCCCGATCTACTGGGCCGATTGACAAAATTCAAATTACGTTCTTCATGTCTCGAAAGCGCGACTTAGGATATATATTAGATTTATATATAGCAAATTTCTAACATAGGTATTTTGACACAAAATCGGACTTTTTCTGAAATAACATACCAATTTTTTTACATATTTCGATTCTACGACTGAAATTACGCCTAAATATGAAATTTTGTAAAATTTGGAGCGAAATTTACGGAGAAATTCACAAATTTATGTTGGCACTTTTTTGTCAGTTTGCGCCAAGAATACTTCACTTGGCGAACTTCTTAATATATGGCAACCTAGTTTTCCTTTCCCATGAGAGGGAAAAAAGTCACCATCGTTCCTTTTTTCCAAATAATATTCTTTATATTATATTTTTAATTAAACTTATTATTTTAAGTAATTTTTTCTTTTTCGAATTTAATTTTAATTGTTTAAGTTGCCTTTTTTTTTTTTTTTTTTTTTTTTTTTTCGAATAACTGTTTATAAATTTCTATTTACCCATTCGAACTGCGTAAATAAAGGTTGCAGCGTTATTTTTTTTTTTCAATAGTTTTTCTTTATATATTTTTCGTCATAGTTTATTATTTTAGGT